TGCCACCTTAAACATGAGATATATAGACCTTAAACATGAGATATATAGTTATTCCATGCCCTCTAGATCATCATTACTCACCTATAGGACAACTATTTCTAGCGTATCCTCGAGTGCATCGCCTGCTAGAGCAGTCTAGTATTTACTATTCCTGTAATACCTAGTCTTTTCGGTAATTTACGCCAAGTCTGAGAACAAGTACTTGTGAGCTGAAGCCGCTACCATTATCTACTTAGCCCTTATAGAGTTCATCCAAATCCCAGTACCTCTTTTCAAATCTACTCGGTACTTTCCACTTTTCAGTATCGCCCTAATTAATCTTCTCAAACTACTAATTCAGATGGCCTAGAAGGGACACCAGTCCCCTAGTATCTGCATGCAAATCTTTTTTCTCCAGTTAATGCTCCGGTGGCCTGGTTGGTAGGTATCTTTGCTGAATACCTGGTCCTCATTCGGTTATATTAATCTCAGGTGTATTCTATTTTAGTAGTACTATCGAAAATCTGTATTACTTCTCTATTTGAGACTTCTCAAGCGAGCGCCTACTGCTATATCAGCTCTGTGGCTTTCTGTGATCTAAAGATCATTCATGTAACTTATACATCACACAAAAACCCTGAGATCTTTCAGTTCTGATGAATTAGTATGATTACAGTTACAGGGTCTTGAGTTTTTTCAGCTATGATGATAGTTGCCAAATCCGTTTTTTCAAATTTAATTTTTCATCTTTAGTAGAAATTGAACTTGTACTCAACCGCTTGGGAGTGCAACAACTTCACCACTTCACTAAGTCGCCACACCCCTTATCCTAATTTTACAGTTTTTTTTTGATAATATACACTTATAATAGTTTTATATAACAATCATAGTTTGTATATATATATAAAAAGATTTTTTTTCAATTATACTTTACTATTATAGCAAGTTTACTGCAAAGAGATTTTGACTTGAATATGTGGTTGTAATATAACTCTTATGTTTTTAACAAGTAAATGATTCTTATTATTTTAATTCATTTTAATCTTCTAAATAGTGGCTATATTAGTAGATCTTATTGTAAATTTTTTCTGATCTTGAATTTTGTATTACTATATTTAATAATTTAGAATAACTTACTTTTTTAGAGCATCCTCTAACAAGATAAATAAAGTTTTTGGTATTTATTTTGTTAATTTTTTGTAGACTAAGTATACTAGTCCTATAGATAGATTTAATATTATAGATTCAAAAAAGTTGGTAAGTTCTAGTAAATATCTAATTATAGTAAACTATTCTAAATATACAAAACTTCTTCAATTGTTGAATTAGCTTCTTTTATTAATTTTTTAAAATAATATATATAGAATAGCATTTTTTTCTATTGGTATCATTGATTTTGGGTTACAAAGAGATTTTAATATACAATTTAAATTCTTTTTCTAAATTATTAATAGATAAATAAGGTTCAGGGTTAACTATAATATTTGGCAAATTTATAGAACTAAACTTTAGTAAGATAGCTTTAACAGAGGTTTCTATTTATAAAATAAGTAAATTCTTCTCTTTTTTATAATTTTTTTATAAATTTTGAATCATTTTACTATTTACTATCCTGTATATAATATTACTTTAATAGAAATATATTAATAAGGGTATATAAGATTTGTTTATTGGTCATTTGTAGTTTATACATATTCTGTACAATTCTTGTATATATAATATATGGTTCTTTTTACTTGAATAAGAACTTTTTTGCCAAATTTTTACTTACAGCTATATCATATAACAACACTATATCATTTACTTGAAACAATCATTTAACTTTTTATACTTCTTGTTCTAATAAAATCGCTATCTATTTTGAGCTTTAATAATAGTAAATTAAGCTTTTTCTTAAACTATTAGTAATTTTTTTACAATATTGTAAAGTTATATTAATATATTCTTTTTAAAAATCTTTTGCTAAAATATAAGCAAATAGGTTTTTTGCTATATATTAGTATAGATAGAGTAAATTTAATAGTTGTTTATTTAGCAATTCTATAAGCAAATAAAACTTGCAAGTATTAATATATTTTATTCTTTTTTTTAGTATCAAGTTTTGCTAATAATTTATAAAATATTTTGTTAAAGTATTCAACTAACCTATTTATTTAAGAATAATATAGTATCAATAATAAGTATTTAATTTAAAATTTTTAACTAGCTTTTTTACTATCATATTATTAAAATATATTTCACAAGCTGTTAATATATGCTTGGGGCTTTTATATCAACAAATGATTTTATTATAGATGAAATCAATAGTAATTTTTGTATTAGCTACAGATATAGCTTTTGTCTCTAATCACTTAATCAAATAGTTAATAGCAATAATTATATATTTATTATTTTTGTAGTTTGAGAAAATAGTTTAATATAATTGATTTCAGAATAAGGTTTTGATAGATATAGGTTGTAATAGTCTTAACATTTGAAACTTACTTTATTATTAATATGTATCACAAGTTTTGATATAATTTTGTATATAGTCATATATCTGAGACTAATAATATTTAATTTTTTGATCTAACCACAAATAGTACCTAGATACTATTTAAAGTCAAACTTTATAAAAATTGATTAATATTCAGATATTATAGAAATGTTAATAGAAATAATAAAAAACTATACAAATATATATACAAGATTGCTAGTTAGTAACATTGGATTCTTTGCTTTGATTCTATTTTTCTATAACCTGATTCAAAAAAAATTAATAATTTTAAATTTAAAGTTACTTAAAACATAATTTTATTATTTTATAAGCATAAATTTTTAAAAATCATACCAGTATTTCATTAACTCTCATAGTTATTAAGATAGAATTAGTTCTAAATATTAATATAATTTTCCTCTTCTCTGTTATAATAATCAAGCTTTGAATCATTTTCATCATTCTTTATAATTACTTTATTCTCTTCTTCATCTGAAATTAATTTACTACTTTCATTTTCTTTTGGAATTAATTTACTACATTGATTCTCTTTAATACCAAGCCTTGTATTTTTCTTAGCTATCTAATGATCATAAGAATGACAAACCTATAATATAAATAAAAAAAATTTAATAAAATTTTTTTTTACAACTGATGCTAAGATATAATCATATTTTTTAAAGTATATATTTTGTTAATTTTTTTTTATTTAATAAAAAATAAGTTATAGTAAGTTACAATACTAATTTTAGCTTTAAAAGCTTTATTTAAGAATATATTTAATAGTTGCAAATGAGAGGTTAGTTTAGTCAAAATTATAGCTATATCTGTATTTTTTTCATAAAGCAATATTTTACAAGATTTGTTTTATAAACAGTAAATGCATTAAGTACAAGAAGCAAACATAGATTTGAACCCAAACTAGCTTGTCAATGCTATATATAGTCAACTCTGTTTATACCAAACTGCATATTCTGAGGTATTTTGTTCAGTATATAGTGAGTTCGTTATATAACTTTCTCTCCTTATACCGAACATTTCGATATATAAAGCTAACCAATAGAATATATTTCACGTGATAAATATGTAATATCATTAATTTTCTATTACTTCGTTAATTGACTAATTTCAGGTCACACCAATCACAAATCTTATCAATTTAGTTTTAATATATAAGGAGTTCAATTACGAATTAAATACATATTTTTTTACTAACAAGCAATATGGATTTATGCAATTCACGTGAACAAAAAAATATTGTACAATAAACTTCTACTTGTCAATACTTTTTCGATATTTGAATTCTAAGAGGGTTGTTTTGTTTTAAGATAACATTTCAGGTCTCTACTAAATGTACATATGTATATACATATATAGTAAATCTTGCAGATCTAGATTTAAGCCACCTTATCTTGATAATTTGGGAACATTTTATTTTTCTAACGTATCGGTATGTATACTTATGAATTTATCAAGAAGTTTTATGGTAATTTAAAAAATTTTATTGAAAATTTTAAATTAATATATATTTAATAAAAATTATAGGATAGGGTATATGTAGAAAGTTTATTCGGTATTCTGAAAGTAGTGAAGATCAACTTGCTTGAGGCTTTTTATAACAGTTAATCTGATCCGTTTTATACAGCTTATTCAAAATTCTTACTTCTCCTTCGACTTCTCCAAACTCTGGCTCTTGTTCATATAAAAATCTTAATATTTTCTTTAGATTTATTTCTGCCTCTCTAGAGCTAACCTTTTCAATTTGTTCAACAGGTTTACTATGATTCTCTTCCTCTTCCTCATTTTTATTTTTGATCACCTCTAGAATTTCATTATCGGTAAGTCCACTCTCAAGTTTGCCATCTTCAATATGAATATATTCATGAGCAGCAAGATAATCGTTTTCTGGTAAATAATCAATTAATTCTTTAAGTTCTTCATCTATGCTACTAAAATAAATTAAGCTAATTAATTTTTTTATCAGATTTTTATATTTTTACTTGTTGGTAGGATAATATACATTTAATATAGATATATTATATATTCACCATTTTATATATGAGTGTCACTAAAAGAAAACTCAAAAATTTAAACATAAATTATATTTAAATTTTAGAGTTTTTTTTTAGCAACACTCATATTATTTAGGGTTAAGCAGAGTTGAAAATTATATGATATAATATTTATTATATGCATTGTATAAATACTATATATTTCTATATTGTATATGATAGTATAATATATATAATACTGGATAATTTTCAACTCTTAGGTTAAGTGAGAACAAAAAATATGCATTGAAAATTTATACGTATTAATAGACTTATATGCATAAACCTTTAAATGCATATTTTTTTTTAATTTCTAAAATCTACCTATCAATATTTGAATCAATAGCTTCTAATTCGAAGAGCATAATGGATTCTAAATTTTCTTGTGGTAAGATACCAGTTTTTTACTAACAATTGCTGATTGTATTTGATGTCACCATGAACCATGCTTTAGCTACATTAAGTATAGCATCATAAATTGAATATTCAGCAAGCTCTTTTGTTACTTTATTTTGTAGATCATCATATGCATTAATTCGGTTTTGGACAAAAAGATGTTTATAGTGATATTTGAATGAATTGATAATTCCAGCATTGCAAGGTTAGAGGATCGGAGTTGTATTTAATGGGAGAACTTTTACTTAGACACAATCTAACTTTGCTTTGGTTTCATCAAGAATAATATGTACTGTTGCACCATCGATTAAAAGTACAATTTTTCTTTTTTTTTGTTTTATTTTTTTATTAATTTTGAGAAGAATATCATTAAAGATGCTAACTTGCATCCAAGATTTTTTATTCCAGTAATAATAGATGGGAAGATTTTTATAATTAATATTTCATAATGGTCAAGGTCTTTTAGATATATATATAAAAGAAAGTTTCATTTTTCGCTTCTATTTGAGTTTGTTGTACAAAATATTGTCACCCTTGCCTTTTCTTTTTTGTGATCGGCCAACTTTGAATGAGCTAAAGTTCGAGATGGCTTCATTCTTCAATAAAGCCCTATTTCATTACCATTCCAAATGTCTTCTGGCTTATATAGCTGAAGAAAATTTCGCAAAGCAAGCTATTCTTTTTCTATTTCCTCTGCAGAAGGGATACTTGCAGACTTACCTTGTTTTGTGAATTGACAAAGTTCTTGTCTTTTCTTAAAACCTGTAAGCCAGCCATCAGACTAATGAAAATCATCAATATTGAGGTGATCAGCAAAAAATTTTGCTTTGGCTTTAAGAATATAACCATTGATATCTTGGTTCATATTGAGAGCATTATCTACCCAAAGGGCAAATGCTTGTTTAAGTTGTAGCCATTTAGGCGCTGTTAACCTGTAGTT